ATCTTACAGGTTACTTCAGATACAGGAATGCAGAAAACCCCTTGTGCTCTTACAGAGAAGAATTATTCCACTTTATGGCAGTTGATCAATCAGGGTGGGATTTACCACAGGTGGGGGTTGTTTGTTTGTTAAAAAAACCACTCAAACAGGTGGGGTGGGGTTAACTGTACTTTACCAGAAACTGAGTTTCTGATAACTGGTCCTTTCATCAATGACTGAACGGAAAACGAATTGCTCTGTAAACTTCCAATCAAAACACAGTAACATCTGGAATGAAGGTTGCAGAGTGGAGTATACTAGGGGTGGGGTGTGTGTGTATGGGGTAATTGTATACCAATGAAGGTATACAATTGTATACCAATGAAGGAGTTTTTCTTTTACTTTTCAAAGAGAAGAGCAAACTTGGGCGGGGGGAGGGAGAAAAGTGCAACAATGAATGAATGAATGGACATCCAAAGTCTCTGTAAATGTTCATTAAAATTAATAAAAAAAGCTAAAAAAAATAAACCACAGTAACAATAATGAGGGGGAAGGTAGCAAATGCAAAGGAGTAATTGAAAGCTAACTTTATCCAAATTAAAATAAGTTAAACTGTAGTATCTAAAAAGAGGCAGGTCTCAAAGTTAAGACATCAATATCACGAAGGGAGCAACAATTTCTTCCGGATTATTGTACATCTTACTTAGGGATTGTTAGTATATTTGAAATGTCATTTTGAGTTATTAGTATGAATCTAAATAAAGAGTAAAAGAAACAAAGCGATTTGATAAAAGGAAAAAGAATGTACCCTGCACTGTCGTTTTACTGCGAGTTGTCGGTGTTCCCGAGGCATTTTCAGAGTCAGCACAGAGTAAACCTCAGTAACAGGAACAGAGGGTGTGCTCACTTGCAAACTAATTTACCAACTTCCTTCACCAACACATACTTTCAAGTGTCTCATCCCTTAAGTGATTTTGGTTTCCATGAATGGCATTAGGGCTGAATAATTACCAAATACTAGCAATACCATTTACTAGTAAATGGAGGGAGTTGTATTCCCACAGTCCATAGCTAGTTCTGCTCTAACCTATCTCTGGGAGATCAAATCCACCAGCAGCTCCTCTGGAGAGAGATGGGCAATCTCCTCTCATGTGGTTTGAAACCTTTGAAACCTGCTGAGGGTGAGTTTTGTGTGAGACTTGACTATGTCATCGTCCTTTAAAATCCCATTTGTTTTCACAAAGCCCAGAGATGTCACCTATATTCATATTTTCCAGTTCCCTGTTACGATTAGTAGTGGATATTTGCAGTTGTTTCTTCTCATTTTGAGTCAGGCCACAACAGCAAATGAAGGTCTTAAAAGTTTCACTCCCTGCATCTCATCAAGATGGTCCCAACAGCCCAGTTTTAGAAATGAAATCACCTTAAAGCAAATGACGGTGCTTCCTCGTGCATTTTAGAGTTTACCTTTCAAAAAAGTGCCAAGATTAAGAATTTCCTATTCCTTCCTGGTCTTTGCTCTTGTCCTGTAACTTCTCCCAGCAGCTCCTCTTTTAAGCAGATTTCTTTTCCAAACATTTTGAGTATTCACCCTGTAACAAGCAGCTTATTCTCATGCTCTTAAGGGGCAAGGGGGCACGGAATGGGAGCGAAATTTGGGGGCCATTGGAAGCTATACCTCTAGACCACACTCAGAACTAAGGTTCTATGCTTCCTTCCCCATGTGGCTAAAAGAACTTTCAGAATCATCTCAAGCCACCTCCCTCTCTCCTGGGCCTGAGTGGAGTCCCTTGAAGACCCTAGTGGTGTAAATCATTAACATGTTCAGCTGCTAACAAAAAGGCCAGAGGTCTGAGTTCACCCAGAGGCACCATGGAAAACCTGAAGAAACACGGTCCTAATCTTACACACGTGGGGTCATCATGAGTCAACATCCACCTGTTGGCAATGAAGGCTAAGAAGTGGCAAGGGACACCTCTCCAGGAGCCACAAATGCTGGTAGAGCTTTACGGGTGACTGGGCAGACCTTGAGTGTTCTTAAAAGTCTATTCCAGGGGAGCTCTGGTGGCCTAGTGGCAAGAAGGTGTACTGCAATCCCGGAGGTGCACGGTTCAAATTCACCAGATGCTCTGCTGGAGAAGGAGGAACAATCTCCTCCTGTACCAGTCAGATCTGATCTGACAGTACACACACAGACAATAATAAAATTTTTTTTAAAAAAAGTCTATTCCAATGTGGAAAGGAGTCAGGATATGGAGAAGGAGAAGAGGAGTAGAAAGTAGGCTGGGGTCCAGGCCTATTTGAGTGGCCATACTTTAAAGCAGAATTCCAAGAAACCAGAAAATTTACATGTAAATGTATGTTTGAGTGGAAAACCAATTACACACACACACACACACACACACACACACACACACACACACACACTCTCTCTCTCTCTCATATTCAAAGCTGCAAAAAAACTGTTTAAAAAATTTAACTGTGAACCCAGATGCTCACCCAGTTGTTAAGGAGATGTATTTGTCAACGTGGGTGGCTGAATGTATTTTATTCAAGCTTGTAATCTTGATTTAGCTTGTATTTAAAAAGGCTTTTGGGCCCTCAGGCCTGAGGCCCTCAACCTGGTTTTTGTGGATCTCCCAAATAAAACAAACTTGGAAGCAGAAGTGTCATCCACTTCCAAAAAAAGTTTGCCTCCTGAAACTCTACGAACTTGGAGAAAACATGAAAGTTTTGTGTTCAAGACTTTCATTCATAGGGTCGCTATGGGTTGTCTACGACTCTACGGCACTTAACAACAACAATCTCGATTTATGATTATCAAAGATTTGTTGTTGTTTGTTGTTGTTGGCAGAACCAACCCACAGCTGACCCTCCAGCAGGTTGCAGAGGCAATTGGGAGGAAACTGCCTGTCCTTCTCCCGTAGGGCAGCTGGTGGATTTGAACAACATGCCTTCAGGACTGCAGCACAGTTTCTTACCATGAGGCTACCAGTGGCTTAATTGTTCTAATCCATCATTTGTTCCATGAGAGAAAGAGAGGCAATCTCCTCCAATGCAATTTATTGCCCTTGAAAACCCACTGGAGTGTCATCAATGGGTTGGTTCTGATTCAATGGTACAGACTAACAGAACAATTAAATATTTAGATGTGATTTAGACATATAATTTTCCTTTGCACTCTTCTCTCAAATGTTAAGCCAAGAGATGGCTGGTTATATAGGTCTCCTAGCTGAGAGCCTTACGCTTCCTTCCCCTTTCTTAGCATGTGTATGTTTTGGGAGATCCCTTGCTTTCTTTTCAAACTTTTCTGACAGATGTGAAGCTGTGTGGAGGCAGGAATCAGACTTTTTTGTTTATAAATGTATACCGATGCCTGCACAATGGCTGATACAGAGTCAGCACTCACCAAGTGTGTCCAAGGCTAAAAAGAGTGATGAAAGGTGCATGCATCTGAACAAAGCAGGTAGGATAAAGGGGTAGAACACCTTGAATGAGAATACCTTGCTAAATTACAATAGAGATTGAGCAACAGTCGAGAAGCCGCACTCCCTCCTTTTGCACTGAATCAGGGAGTGGCAGCCAACCCCAGTTACCTTAGGAACCAGAGTGAAGCAATTTATTCTTCTTAAGTTTTAAATTTCTATTTGTTTTTTTCCCTTCATATGAGCACTGGGCTAGGATCAGGTGTTGCAAACTGGGGAGCCTGCAGTTCCAAAGTGTCTGGACCACTCAAACACATTAAAAAATGTGACTCAACATTTAAAAATGAGTGAAGAAAAAAAAATGACCAATAAAATAAAAAACCCACAACATTTTGGTATACCTTGAAAAAAAATAAACCAACCCTGGGCCGCCTTCTCATCCATCAGGAGACTGTGTTTACCAACAGGCCATACCTCTCACTTGCAAAAACAACTTGTGTTTTGTGTCGTCCCCCCTCTCCCCCCCCCCTCAGACAAGGCCAGGTCAGCTGTGTTTTCTTCTCTGACTAGCCACTAAAGACTTCTGAGGCCATAATTCCGGCACCTCCTGTTCTTTAAGGCTCTTTTGTTTTAAAAGATTACCCTCATGAATTTCTTCATGGCTGTAGTTCTACTAACCTTTGACTCATATCAGTTCACTTGAATTACATGTACTGTAACATGGCATGCCTGCTTGTGCTTGTAAAACGGAGTTTTTTTTTTAACACAGTCAAATGAAACCCATCAAAGAAGCTGTCTTTGTCATTGTTACTGATCCAAATTTCCCATGACCATTTATCTGACGACCTTAAGGTGGGTATGCTAGAATGGAGAGTTGGGGGTGGGTGGACAGGGCTTGACTAGAGCCTTAAGATTGCAAAGACTGTGGCTATGGCAGATCAAGAGGTGTTGGGGACACAGAGGTGAAAGAAACTGCTGCAGAGGGGAGGTTGCAGAACAGGGCTTGGGAGGATGATGAAAAAAACGCGAGAGGCAGATACGCTCTAATTTGTTCAACAAGTATTCCCTGTGTGCCTTCGATGGAAGGAGGGGTTCAGTAATAGACCAAAGTCTCAGCATTGATCTCGGTTAATACCGGCCCAGGGAAATCAGGCGACACACATGATGAACCCAGATATCACACGCAGACTTATGTACTTGTCAGGAAGAGATAAATGCTATTTATAAAACCAAAGCAGAGCAAGGGAACAGCGAATGAGGGTGGCTGCTATTTGAGGAGACCCTAAAGAAGGGAGTGAGCAAAGCATTTACCAAAGTTGTCTGCTAATTTTCCAGGCTACAGGGGCTAGGTGAGCCTCCCAGGAAGCTCCGCCCCACTCCCTCCCAATAGGGCGCAAGGTGCACCTCTGGGGAAGCTCCTCCCTCTTCCCCGCCCAGAGGCGGACCTGGGGGCGTGGCCTCACGTCCTGGCGCTCAGAGAGCCGCGCGGAAAGCCATGAGCTCCCGGGTCCCGGCATCCTCCTCGTTCTCTCACATGCCGCCGGGAGACTTACCCCCGGGTGAAGCTTGGCATGCTGGGAATTGTAGTCCCCACAGGCCGCTCGCTTCTGAGGGGTGGTAAAAGCCACTCAGTCCGCTTCCATTTCTGGCACAGTATTTGCAGCCCCGAGGGGTTATGGGGAGGCCTCCCGGGGGAGGTGGGGGGACAGGGGTCATCCAAGAACCAACCCGGCATATCCAGCAGGCAAGCGTCCAGGCCGGTCACCGCCCCCGGTCACGTGCTCGCTGCCTCCCGAGGCGCGCGCCGCTGCTCAGCGCCGTTCCCGCCACGCCCCGCCCGGCCGTCGCCCAGCGCCTCCCCCGGCGCTGCTGCCACCTCGCGCTCACAGGCGTCACGGAACGTGCTCTCCTCTCCCCCTCCCCTCTCCCCCGCCCCCTCCCGCGCCGAGACTCGCCGCCGCAGCCGCAGGAGGAGCCGCCGCCGGAGCCGCGCGCAGCCATGGCCGAGAACCCTGGCTTGGAGAACCACCGCATCAAGAGCTTCAAGAACAAGGGTCGCGATGTGGAAGTGAGTGTGCTTCCGCCGTCTGCGTCTCCGGCCGCGCCGGCCCAGCGGCGGCAGCAGCGGCAGCGGCAGAGGCGGCGGGAGGGGCGGGGGGCCGGCGTCGGGCCGGTTCTCGTTCTCGCCGGCTCGCGGTCGGATCGGAGTTGGCCGCCGCCTCCCGTCACCGCGGCCCGCGGCTTAGGCGGCGCGGGCGGCGGGCCGAGGGCCGAGCTGCAGCCGCGGTCCCGAGCTGCCGGCGCAGGGACCGGGAAATGCCGGGGCTTTTGGGCCCCGTCACGCGGGCGCGGCCTGGTGTCGGCGAGGAAGGGATGGGGAGCTGAGGCGGGGTCCGCGGGCCGGGGCCGCGCGGACGGGGATGCTGCTGGCCCGGCAGGGGAAGCCCACCGCCGAGGGGGCGGCCGCATCTCGCTCCCGCTGCCCTCCTCGCGGGCCGGCGCAGCCCCCTCGGCGCCTCCCGCGCTGCCGCACATGGAGCCGCGCTCCGCCGGTGCCCGCACCTACCTTGGCGAACCGGGCCCAGGCAGGCGGCGGCCCGCAGAGGGGGTGGGGACCAGCCGGGTAACTGACTTGTTGGGGGGTGGGAGTGGGGGAGGGGAGGGGGACCATTTTCTTATTCGCGGGGCTGTCCTTTGGAGCAGTCGTGCTGCGCTCTTGCTGTCTTCCCACTCCTGTCCCTGCTGGCTTTTGCGGCAGGCAGAAGGTGGACAATAGTTTACCGTCTATTGTGTTGTTCCGACCTCCGCTTCCAGGACTGTTATCTGAGCCGTTCTTGGAGTGGGGTGATGATTCCTCCAAAGTGTTTTACCGAAATAAAACGGATTCCCAGGTTCATTCTTCTTTGCTCGGAGCTCGTAGGATTTCCAAGTGGTTGCAAAACTGTAAACATGCTTAGTGGTCACTCAGTTCGTTGCTATTCAGCATGTTACCTTTGTCTCATTAAGGTGACATTAGCAGGTACTATTTGCAAACTCGGCTTGTGGAGGCAGCGCTAGAGGTCTCTCTGCAGCTACTAATAGTAATGAAGTATAATGCATAAACTTCACTAGGACGCTGACCTCTGCATTTGTGTGTGAGGGGGGCAAATAATTTTACGTCCATGGCCTCCTTTTTAAATGTTAAGTGATGAGAATAGTGGTTCTGTAATTCTTGCTAAGGGAGTGGAGTTTGATTAAAAAAAAATCTGAATTTTCTCCTCTGTCTTGAAGAGGGGATACTGGTGGAGAAGATAGAAAAATTCCTTGTGCTGGTTGATAGAGCTACAGACAAAACTCAAGCCATTTTTCAGAACTACAAAATTTGTACCAATTGGAAACAACCTGGGGAAATACCTGGAATTCCTGTTTGAATGAGACACATGTCATCTCTTTCCATATCTTGGCCATGGTTAACATTTCCTCTGTGAGAAATACATTTAAGTAAAAGTGAAATTTAGCAATAGCAACAGATTTTTTAACTATCTCTTCCTATTTGACTGCATGATGACAAAGGTTAAATTTTAACTTTCACATTAGTAACATTTCTTTGTTCTGCCCATACTTAATGTAGTTGGTACCCAACGTACGCAGTTTTTGAAAAATACTCAATATTGCTGCACGAGAATGAGTACCATTCTTTCTTGCTTTGCTTGAGTGTTGGAGATTATTACTTGTCGGTGTTATTGTGTTCCACGCATTAAGCAAGACTTTTGCACATTATAAGCACATAACAAATATTTGCTGATGATCAGAAGGTGACAGTGACTTGATAAAGACAGAAAGGTTGCTTGGAAATACTGGTCACTGCAAGATCACACTTCCTAGACACGTTAGGATACCTAAGGCATGAAATAGCAAATATTCAATTGGTAGTTCTTAGTGGCAGACACTTAAGAGCTTCGTGATATTTCATTTAATCCTTATTAATGGCTTTATGTTAAAGCATTATCCCTACTACCTGAAGGAAGTCTTTTAGAGGAGGAAACTCGGGGTGCTTGTGCAGCCTGGAAACGGTCACGCTGTATGAGCAGTCATTCACTACTTTTCTACTAGTTGTCTTAACTATATGTGAGCCAACATAGTACTACATATTTGGGATAAAACAAGGAATAAAATTCCATTTGTGACTTGAAGTTTTACAGTTTAGTGAAGGTGATAGAGTAAACTGATAACATTTAATAAGTCATACGATAGAAGAATGCATGAGAAGACCCTAACTTGGAGCTGAGGGGTAAGAGAGATATTTGTGTTGATTCTTAGCCAATAAATAGGATTGAGCCTATCAAGAAGGACAGAAGAAAGTTGTCCAGCCCATGGGCTGGAGGAGACAGGAAGGACAGAAGGGATTCCAGGATGAGGTGACGGTAATTGAAGAGTCCTAAGTGAGAGAAGGTAGGGAAAGCTAGTGATAGGATTAAAGGGTGAATTGGGGTCCAGTCTGATAAAGTGCCTTTGTTATTGCAGGTTTAGACATAATTAAGACTAGACCTTATATATTTATATCTGATATAGTCTCCTCCATTACAAACTTACATGACATCTTAGCTCTGTGACTAAGTAGTTGTGATTATCAAGCTGTTCCCAGACAGTAAGATGTGCTTTGGTGAGCTCTCTTCATTTCCACCTTCTCATAAACAGGATGGATGAAAGAACAAACATGCTATAAATGAAACAGTCAACTGACAAATAAGATGTTGCTGTAAGTAAAAAGAAATCAACATTTTCTGAAGATAAAGTGTAAAATTGTGTCAGAAGATTGTAAGTGATGGGAGTGGACTGGAGGAGGAGAATATTTTCATAGTTCTTTAGTCAAGAATGGCTTCATAGAGAGAGCTTATAAGAGATCTTGGAGAGAAAGAACAAAGTTGGTGAATCTAAAAGGAAGTGAATACCAGAATGTTAGTCAGAAGTTAGTAACTGAAGATCCAGGTGAAAAGAGAAAAGTTAGGTTAGGGAGTAAAGATGAGACTTAGGAATAATAGCCTGTGGTGATATGAGAATATGCCAGAGTTGGTTGGGAGCTTTTTCTTGATAGAAGATCTGAAGAAATCTATTTCAGAGTGGAGATGTAACATGACCAGCTAAAATCAAATCAAACCCGTTGCTCTTGCATCAGTCCAACTCATGGTGACCCTTTAGTGGGGTTTTGAGGCTGTCAGTCTTTACTGAAGAGGCTTCCTTAGTCCTGCAGAGTAGCCAATGGGATCAAACTGATGACCTTTTGGTTAGCAGCCCAACCCTTGACCTACTATATCACCCTGGCTCCTAACATGGTTAGAGTAATGGAAAAGTGCAATTAAAAGTAATATTGTGAATTCATTCTTAAGGAGTAATGCTGTGATTTAGTCTGCAAAGGATGAATTTTCCAAAACGTGAAGGTGTCTATAATTTAGAATGAGATATGGAGTTTTCTTCTTACCTTTCTTTCCCCTCCCCCAAATTTGAGTGTGCTTAAGTGCAAAAGCTCATAAAGACAAAAAGGAATGATGGTTTTTTTATACAGTGGTAGTTGTTATACACTGTGGTGTCAGGCTTGACCCATACCTGACCCTCCAGTGGGTTTTCAGAGGCAATAAGTCACATGGGAGTGAATTGCCCGTCTTTCTCTCAAGGAGCAGCTGGCAGATTCGAACTTCTTGCCTTTGGGTTGACAGCGCAGTTCCTTACCACTTGGTCACTAGGGCTTCCTATACAGAAATAGGGGAGGGAGGAATTATCACTGTTAGCAATTTGAAGTTTGAGTAGAGGAATGAATTTCCCAGTAGCTAGTACTAGGAAATACACATTGAAGGGAAAATCTCTTAATTAATATTTTAAAATTTTGGGTCTTTTCCTATAAAGCATTTTTCCCTTTTAAAAGAAGTATTTTTAAATCTTCAAATATACCTGGAGGAACGTTCCATTTAGTGACTGCTTTAAAGAAAAAACCCAGGTAACTGTCATTCAGACCAGTTTTTCTTTTCCTTGCTTCTGTGTACCTGGTAGATGTGACTTTTTCCATTAGTAATAGTAACTAATATTTTTAAGTGTTTACAATGTACCTATGCTAAGTACTTGGCATAGTTTATTCATTTAATCCTCACAACAACTTTAAGAAGTAGTTACTATTATTACCTCTATTTTCTGCTGAAGAAACTTGAAGCTTATGCTTAAGTAACTAGCCCTAAGTCATATGTGGCAGAGCCTGGACTTAAAGCAGATGCTGAAGTCCTGTCTTTTGATAACTCTGCTATATTGTTTCTCACTGTCTACATGAAGCATGCCTGAAAGTAATGGGGGAAAATAATAGGAAATCTTGACTTTGTCACTGAAACTCCTATTTGATAGTTTAAAGTGTGCCAGTACTGGGGTTGAAGAAAAATTTGATGTGTGGATAAAGTTCATCACATTTGTTCCAACTTATAGTGACCATGTGTACAGTAGAACAGAATGCCACACAGCCCTGAACCATCCTCAGAACTGTTGCTAGCTAGATTTGAACCCTTTGTTGTAGCCACTTTGCCTGTCTCCTTGAAGGTCGTCTTTTTTACTTTCCACTTTACCATTGGGAATTCCACCAGCTGCTCCGAGGGAAGAAGATGGCCAGTTTCCTCTTGTGTGATTTACTTATGTAAACTGATGGAGGGTCAGCTGTGAGCCGATGCCAACTGATGGCACAGAACAACCTTTACCAAGCATAATGTCCTTCTCCAGGGACAGGCCCCTCCTGATAACATGTCCAAAGTTAGGAGACGACGTCTGTCCATCCTCTCTTCAAAGGAGCACTCTGGCTTTACTTCTTTCAAGACAGTTTTGTTTGTTCTGGCAGTCCATGGTATACTAGATGTTCTGTGCCACTATTGTTGGTTTTCTAATTTTTTTGATTATTAATTTTAATGAAAGTTTACGGACTTTGGATTTCCATTCATTCATTATAGTGTTTTTCTCCCTGCCTACCCCTCCCCTCAGTTCACTCTTCTCTTTGAAAAATGAAAGAACATTTTTTTTTCATCGTTACACAATCCGTCCCCCAAAATCCACTCCACTATG